CTCTAGAAAAAAGGAGCCTCTATGTATCAGTAAAGCAAGTTAGAAATAGGATTAGTCTGATTGATTTCTGTTTGCTTTTTCATGACAATAATTATGTTCCTTTAATATATTAAATGTGTCCTAATTTTAAATCATAGGATGTGTGTGCGCGCGTGCATGCGTGTGTCTTTGTGTGTCTGAAGAGAAGGACTAGGAATGACATGATAGTAGTTTTCCAATTTCTGGGGGGCTTCACAGAGAGGAGAGTGTCCACTTATTTTCCAAAGCATCTGAAGGGAACACAGGAAGTCACCAATGGAAGCTTAACAAAGAGAGAGAGAGAGAGAGAAAAAAGAAAGCTGTCTGGAATAGCCTCACAGCGAGATAGGCAGAAAATAAATTTAATAAATAAATAAATAAGGGAAATCCAAGCTAGAACTAAGGAGAAATTTCCTGTCAGTGAGATCAATCAATCAGTAGAATGGCTGCTTCCAGAAGTTGTGGGTATTCTATCACTCTTTTTAAGAAGAGATTGGACAGCCCTTTATCTGGATTGGAATAGGGCCTCCTACCTGACCAGGGTTTTCACTAGAAGGTCTCCAAGCTCCCTTCCAAATCTGTTATTCTGTATTCTGTATTTTAGTAGAAAGTTGCACATGCTGCAATGTTAAATGCATACAAATAATTTTCAAGCCAAGTTTATTTTGTCTTCTTCTGTGAATATATAGATGTCTTTGGAATGATCCCAAAGTTGCCAGAAAGGCTTCAGCCTTCACAAGATCGATATTAATAAATTTTAGAAATAAATACATTTAGAGAGGAACTGTCCTGGGAGATTCATGAGGTTATCCTGAAGGAAGCAAAGAAAAAAAAAACTAAGATACATGGATGGATAGATGGATGGATGGATGGATGGATGGATGGAAAAAATTGTATATATCTATGTCAGTATAATTTAATGATTAGTTTCAAAATACTTTTGCTGCTTAAAATGTCAATATCAAAACACACTTTCCTTTATAAGTCAGAATGTTAAGATCTACCAAAGAATTATTCTCTGCATCCTCCCACTGAGAATACCATGTTTCCCTGAAAATAAGACAGGCTTTTATTTTCTTTTGAAATAAGCGCTTGGCCTTATTTTTGAGGAGATCTTATTATTTTTGGGGTGCAGGAAGCAGTGAGCATGGTCACCTCATGGCTGCTGCTGTGTTGAAATGTTTTGGGAGGGGGCTTATTTTCAGAGGAGGGTTTATTTTAGCGCATGTGCTCAAAAGCTCGATTGGGCTTATTACCCGGGGAGGTCTTATTTTTGGGAAACAGGGTAGTACATTATATGGAGACACAGCAGGATTTCTTGGCTGTAGCATCCCAATTATGAAATGCTCTCCCTGCTCTGAAATCAAAGTGTTGGTTTGGAAAGGCCTAGCTATTCATCTGGACTTTTGATTTTTGCTGACAGCAAGGTTAAGGTTTAATCAAGGACATGCAGTAATCCTTCAGGCTAATGAAAGAACCTAATTTTGTTGTTTCTAGAATCTATGCTGCTTCCATTAGCCTACTTCTGGCCCTCTTTTTTTTAATTCGGTTATAGGAGTGGGAGAGCCTATGTGCTACATATACGTGCTGCATGTATCTTTCCTGGCTCCACTCAGATTTGGCAGCAAGGTGACAAAAAAATTCAGCAGTGTTGTGTTTTGGGATTTGTTTTTTGTTTTCAGAACCAAGTGGAGAGTAATTATGTGAACTGTATTTAAATAATTTAATTTTAATTAAGCTTAAATTCAATATTTCACCAGGAGTACAGTCCCTAACACGGTATTAAAAGGGAAATGCGATGTCTCCTCCCCCAAAACTCCCCCTACCAATTGAGCAGGTAAATGAAATTCTGACGTACACTACGCAAAGATATTAGCTAAAATAATTTTTAGCATCAAATCTGATTCAGGCCTCTGTGTTTCTATAGAATGGTTTTCTAGCTGCCTGCATGCCTCCTTCAAACCGATGCCCTGAATCAGCCGTCACCAACTTGATGCCTTGTCTGTGTATTTGGATGTCACCTGCCCCTTAATGCATGCCCACGCTGTCTAAAAATTCTGGGGATTAAAATCTCAGCACATCCATAAGGCATCAGAATAGGGAAGATGGCTATAAAACCTCATAGATTCTGGCTGAAATTTGCTACACCAGTTGTAGAAAAGGACATGAACTTGACCATCTGTAAAACTGATGCTGGAGTTTATTAATATGAAGAGCAGCCTAAGGTTGGTACACCCCTCCAGGCCCATTTATTGCCCTCTGATTTAGCGAATACCCTTTTTGCTAATTGATTTTTTTCTAGTAAGTCCTCAAATGAACCGTGCATGGCATCAATCTCTTCCCTACTTTTATAGATGGGTTGGAAAGGAGGCCAGAAGCAGACTTTGAAAATTCTTTCCGATGAAATAATTTTCACTGTTGGTATTTTCTTACTATTACTTTCTGTATGGATGTTGTTGGTTTATTTTTTTTTTTAATCAATTGCCTTGTGTGTCATCATGCAAAACTGGAAGGAAAATGTTTTTATTAAAGACCAGAAGACACTTGCTTCTCGCAGAGCGTTCTAAGTATTATTCTGACCTAGGCTTCCCAAGAGCATGAAGCAAACTCCTAGTCCCAACAAAAACCTCTTTTATTAATTTACTGTGAATTCTGCTCATTCACATCCAGCAGAGTCTTTCCAGGGAGGATTTACAGTCACAGACCTTATCTGGCTTGGAGAGCTGACAGGCCCTTTTGCTCCTTTTATTTCCTCTGGGAGGGCCATTCATCATCCACCTGTGGCCTTACTCACAAGTCGAGCCCTGTTCTTTAGCTGTTCCCTTCGTCTAGCAACTCTGTGTATGTGCACACTGAGAACAGGCTCCAGCTGTTCGTCTGCCTCATTGATGTTTGACTCTGAAGGCATCTGATAACTGGCATACGGCTCTGCCCCCCTCTCTGCCTCCAACACAGAGCCCTCATCAGAGCCTTCTCCAGACTCCAGGCCTGGATCATGTTCCTCCCCAACATCCTCACTGTCTGAATCTGCTGCTAGTTTTGCTGGCCGCTGGCGGGCCACAGCAAGTATACCCATTCTCTACAGATTACAGTTATGGCAGATTACAGTTATGTGAAGCACACACGGGATTTTCTTGCAGTAGGTTTCTTTTTATTTCTTATATAGAAGTGCTTTGCACCAAGTTGTACCTAGATTGAAATGATAGTTATTTAAAGTGGTTGTAGAAAAGCAGGAAAAGCTACAGACTTTGCAGATACAAAAATAAATAAATAAACCAGGCACTGCAATATCTTCCAGGAAATGTGTAATGCAAATATTTTTCCTGCAGTCCGTGTATTGAACGTGCATTCCTTGTTCAAGCTGGTTTCCCAGGATCAGGCGTCTGCTGGGTTCCTATTGTCTAACAAGTTCCTCTTCTGCTACTCTGTTTCTTGGCCATTTTTTCTGTGCTAGACTGAAAGCGCTTCTTCTAGAACAGAATGCAAAGGGGACGGGAATCCTTTTCACTCTTCTCACTTGTTCTCTGCCACTGTGATGGGGGTCTGGCTGAGCAACCTTGGAACATGGCTTTGAAAATAACCTCCTCCTGTTTACTCCAGAACATAACACTGGAAGAAGAGGAGGTTTGGCACATTTTATGTCCTCAACAAAATAGAGGAGGTATTTCTGAGGAGGGCTTCCCCCACACCCCATTGATTAAAATCCGAGGGACTGAAACTCAACAAGAACTGCAGGCAGCCTTTACAAAATTATCTTGTGCCAGTTTAACTGTGTTTATTAAATAACAGTCCAAATAAGAATGCCTCATCGTTTTAGAAAGCTAATTTTACTTGAATCTTGAAAGATGTTAAATGAAAGGAATAAGTCCCTGTGACATACATTTCCTGATATGGTTTATGGCCACTCACCAATTAGGCTAACACTGAAATTACTTTCAACCAAATATGGAAGCTCATTAGGTTCTTGTGGAATACATGAGGACCCAATGAATTTCAAGTAGCAGCAAAATATTACCGGTCACATTGAACTTTTGCTTTTTCACGGGGGGGGGGGGGGGGG